ATGTATCAATATATGTATCAATATCTATAAACTGTATGTTATATATGTATCAATATATGTATCAATATCTATAAACTGTATGTTATAGATGTATCAATATATGTAAACTGTATGTTATATATGTATCAATATCTATAAACTGTATGTTATATATGTATCAATATCTATAAACTGTATGTTATATATGTATCAATATATGTATCAATATCTATAAACTGTATGTTATATATGTATCAATATCTATAAACTGTATGTTATATATGTATCAATATATGTATCAATATCTATAAACTGTATGTTATATATGTATCAATATCTATAAACCGTATGTTATATATGTATCAATATATGTATCAATATCTATAAACTGTATGTTATATATGTATCAATATCTATAAACCGTATGTTATATATGTATCAATATCTATAAACCGTATGTTATATATGTATCAATATATGTATCAATATCTATAAACTGTATGTTATAGATGTATCAATATCTATAAACTGTATGTTATATATGTATCAATATATGTATCAATATCTATAAACTGTATGTTATATATCAAGGGTGCCCAACCTTTTTTGTCCCAAGATCTACTTTTCAAGTAGCCAACCTCCTGAGATCTACCAGTCCAGTGTCGCAAACCCACACACATTGTTTCCAGCCTGCAGTAACTAACCTCAAACACTTTTTCTTGTTGTCACACAACTACTAGACATCACATCACAAACCCTCCCTCTCTCAAACACACACACACACACACACACACACACACACACACACACACCAATCTGCATGATGAGCAATAGCCATAACTGACCTTAATATGAACCAAACAGAAAAATAAACCAGATACAAAACAGGTAGATCTTTGAGTTTGAAAAAAGGAAATCACTTCCTACGTTAGTGGGAGACCTGGCACTGGGAGGAGGAGGCTAGCTTCTCGTAGTCAGGAGTGTAGGAGCTGGTTGCAAGGCATAGGCAGGCTGCAAGGTGGTCATCAGTCATTGTTGATCTGTACTTGGACTTGATGATTTTCATGTGCGAGAAAGCAGACTCGCACAAATAAGTTGATCCAAAAAGAGCTGTCAGGTAGGTAACATCAATACTTGCACAAAATTGATAACACATATAGTTGGCTACAGGCTCGATGGATACAAAATCAGTAAAACGCCTCTCAAACTCTGACGAGATGCTCTGAACATGCTCCTCATAATGTGCACTGTCAAGCTGTGTCACACCTTTACCTTGACGTTGTAGTTCTGCTTGAAGTTGCTACTACATCTTTACACACTGTAATATACACACTGTAATATACATTATAGTTTGATCTGATATATTGATTGGTATTGATCAGATATATTGATATTGATCTGATATATTGATTGGTATTGATCTGATATATTGATTGGTATTGATCTGATATATTGATATTCATGACACACGTCTGTGACGTGCTACGGTAAGCGTACTGACTCATTTCCGGTTTACTTCCTGCTCTGTGTACACTGTTTGGTGCTGTAGCTCTGTCAGTGAACGCTAAATATACATTAGTTTTACTCGTTACAGCGGTTATTCTCCCGCTTAACATTTAAACGTAGACTAGTTCTACCTAAGCACTCGGGGTTACTCCTTCTTTTAGCGACTTTTCACTACTTTCAAAGTTTTTTCATATACGCTAGTTTCATTAGCATTAGCAGTTAGCTATGGCTTCTCCCTCTCCCTCTCCTCTGTCCTGCTCAGTGTGTCAGATGTTCAGTTATTCCTCTGCCTCCTTTAATGATAATGGTACCTGTATTAAATGTAGTTTATTTACTGCGCTGGAGGCGAGGCTTAGTGAGTTAGAGGAACGGCACCGCACCACAGAGATATCTTTAGCCGCTATAGTTAGCCAGCCCCCAGTAGCCGGTGCGGTCCAACCGAAGGTAGCTTCTGTTAGCTCTGTAGATCCTCCGGTAGTTCCTCCGGTAGATCCCCCGGTAGTTCCCGAGCAGCCGGGAAGACAGGGAGGCTGGGTGACTGAGCGAAGGAAGACTAAAACGCCGAAGCCCACAGGTCACCACCAACCCATTCACGTCTCTAATACATTTTCCCCACTCAGCGACACACCCGCTGAGGAACCAACTCTGATTATTGGCAGCTCCATAGTCAGAAACGTGAAGTTAGCGAAGCCAGCGGCCATAGTTAAATGTATCCCTGGGGCCAGAGCGGGCGACACTGAATCAAATTTAAAACTGCTGGCTAAAGATAAACGTAAATACATTAAGATTGTTATCCACGTCGGCGGTAATGACACCCGTTTACGCCAATCGGAGGTCACTAAGATTAATGTGGAGTCGGTGTGTAATTATGCTAAGACAATGTCGGACTCTGTAGTTTTCTCTGGACCCCTGCCCAATGTGACCAGTGATGACATGTATAGCCGCATGTCGTCATTCCACCGCTGGCTGTCGAGGTGGTGTCCAGAAAACGATGTGGGCTTCATTGATAACTGGAAGCCTTTTTGGGGAAAACCTGGTCTGATTAGGAGAGACGGCATCCATCCCACTTTGGATGGAGCGGCTCTCTTATCTAGAAATATGGCGAAGTTTATCTCTAAAACCTGACAGTCCAGAGTTAGGACCAGGAAGCAGAGCTGCTGTCTTACACACTTCTCTGCGCTTTCTTTAGAACAGTCAATTCAATTCAATTCAATTCAATTCAATTTTATTTGTATAGCGCCAATTCATAACAGAAGTTATCTCAGGACACTTTTCAAATAGAGCAGGTCTAGACCGAACTCTTTAACATTAATTACAGAGACCCAACAGTACCACCATGAGCAAGCACTTGGCGACAAGGGCAAGGAAAAACTGCCTGTTAAAAGGCAGAAACCTAGGACAGATCCTCCGGCTCTAGGTGGGTGGTCGTCTGTCTCGACCAGTTGGGGTGAGAGAGAGAGAGAGAGAGAGAGAGAGAGAGAGAGAGCGACAGACAGACAGACAGGTGCACAGCAACAACAGTATTGGCAATGGCAGTCAAGCAGGACCATGGCAGGAGGCTCCACCAGGATCCATGAGAACCTGCGAGACGAGAAAGCACAAGAACTCCGGGGAAGAAGTGGAGTTAGTAACATGCATTAAAGGGACATGAATGAGTGCAGAAAGAGAGAGGAAGAGAGTAGCTCAGTGCACCATGGGAAATCCCCCGATAGTCTAGGCCTATAGCAGCATAACTAAGGGATGGTTCAGGACTCACCTGATCCAGCCCTAACTATAAGCTTTATCAAAGAGGAATGTCTTAAGCCTACTCTTGAATGTGGTGAGGGTGTCTGCCTCCCGAACCACAACTGGAAGCTGGTTCCACAGGAGAGGAGCTTGGTAACTGAAGGCTCTGGCTCCTGTTCTACTTTTAGAGACTATAGGAACCACAAGTAGCCCAGCATTCAGAGAACGTAGTGTTCTAGTGGGGTAATAGGGTACTATGAGCTCTTTAAGATATGAAGGGGCCTGACCATGAAGAGCTTTATAGGTGAGGAGGAGGATTTTAAATTCAATTCTACATTTTATAGGGAGCCAATGCAGAGTAGCTAGTACAGGAGAGATGTGATCTCTTTTTCTAGTTCCTGACAGTACTCGTGCTGCAGCGTTCTGAATTAATTGGAGCGTTTTAATGGACTTATTGGGGCAACCTGATAATAAAGAGTTGCAGTAATCCAGCCTTGAAGTAACAAATGCATGGATTAGTTTTTCTGCATCTGTCTGTGATAGTATGTGTCTAATTTTTCTAATATTACGTAAATGAAAGAAGGCAGTCCTAGAGGTCTGCTTTATGTGGGAGTTAAATGACAAATCCTGATCAAAGATAACTCCAAGATTCCTGACAGTGGTGCTAGAGGCCAAGTTAATGCCATCTAGAGTGACTATATCTTTAGACAATGAGTCTCTAAGGTTTTTGGGGCCAAGAACAAGAATTTCGTTTTTTTCTGAGTTTAACATCAGAAAATTGCAGGTCATCCAGGATTTTATGTCCTTAAGACATGTTTGTAATTTAGATAATTGATTAATTTCATTGGGTTTGATTGATAGATATAACTGCGTATCATCTGCATAACAGTGAAAGTTAATGGAGTGATTCCTAATAATGTTGCCTAAAGGGAGCATATATAAAGTAAATAGTATTGGTCCAAGTACAGAACCTTGTGGAACTCCATGACTAACTTTAGTATTTATGGAGGATTCATCGTTAACATGTACAAACTGAGAACGATCTGATAAGTATGACTTAAACCAGGTTAGGGCAGTTCCTTTAATGCCAATTTGATGCTCAAGTCTCTGTAAAAGAATATCATGGTCAATGGTGTCAAATGCAGCACTAAGATCTAATAATACAAGTACAGAGACAAGTCCATTGTCAGAAGCAGTCAGAAGGTCATTATTAACTTTAACCAGAGCTGTCTCTGTGCTATGATGAACTCTAAATCCTGACTGAAAATCCTCAAATAAACTATTGTTATGTAGAAAGTCACACAACTCTTTGGCGACTACTTTCTCCAGAATCTTAGAGAGGAACGGGAGGTTAGAAATCGGTCTATAGTTGGCTAAAACCCCTGGGTCAAGAGTGGACTTTTTAAGAAGGGGTTTAATTACAGCTACTTTAAAGGACTGTGGTACATATCCTGATAATAAAGAAAGATTAATCATATCCAGTAAAGAAGTGCCAATTAAGGGAACAACTTCTTTAAGCAGCCTAGTTGGGATCGGGTCTAACAGACAGGTTGATGGCTTCGATGAAGAAATGATTGAAGTTAACTCATGAAGATCGATAGCAGAAAAACATTCTAAATATATATCTAAGTTTACATTGACAGAAGTCCCTGAACTTGGAGAGCCACTGATAACTGTTGATGGCAGTTGGTGATTAATTTTTTCTCTAATAGTAATAATTTTATTGCTACAGGCTCACTACGATCAACATTAGACTCTATCGCTCCTATAAAAAGGAAATTATTAAAACATAGGAGACTAGCACCTTGGTATAACCACCAAACCCGCCAGTTAAAACAAATAGCTAGGAAATCTGAAAGGAAATGGCGCTCTTCCAAATTATCAGTATATCGCTCAAATTGGCAAGATAATCTTAAAATTTATAGAAAGGCCCTCCATAATGCCAGAGGAGCCTATTACTCAGCACTAATAGAAGAAAATAAGAATAACCCTAGGTTCCTCTTCAGCACTGTAGCCAGGCTGACAGAGAGTCACAGCTCTATTGAGCCACATATCCCCATAAACTTAAGTAGCAATGACTTCATGAGCTTCTTCTATAATAAAATTATTACTATTAGAGAAAAAATTAATCACCAACTGCCATCAACAGTTATCAGTGGCTCTCCAAGTTCAGGGACTTCTGTCAATGTAAACTTAGACATATATTTAGACTGTTTTTCTACTATCGATCTTCATCAGTTAACTTCAATCATTTTTTCATCGAAGCCATCAACCTGTCTGTTAGACCCGATCCCAACTAGGCTGCTTAAAGAAGTTGTTCCCTTAATTGGCACTTCTTTACTGGATATGATTAATCTTTCTTTATTATCAGGATATGTACCACAGTCCTTTAAAGTAGCTGTAATTAAACCCCTTCTTAAAAAGTCCACTCTTGACCCAGGGGTTTTAGCCAACTATAGACCGATTTCTAACCTCCCCTTCCTCTCTAAGATTCTGGAGAAAGTAGTTGCCAAAGAGTTGTGTGAATTTCTACATAACAATAGTTTATTTAAGGATTTTCAGTCAGGATTTAGAGTTCATCATAGCACAGAGACAGCTCTGGTTAAAGTTAATAATGACCTTCTGACTGCTTCTGACAATGGACTTGTCTCTGTACTTTTGACACCATTTGACACCATTGACCATAACATTCTTTTACAGAGACTTGAGCATCAAATTGGCATTAAAGGAACCACACTAAGATGGTTTAAGTCATATTTATCAGATCGCTCGCAGTTTGTACATGTTAACGATGAATCTTCAATAAATACTACAGTTAGTCATGGAGTTCCACAAGGTTCTGTACTTGGACCAATACTATTTACTTTATATATGCTCCCTTTAGGCAACATTATTAGGAATCACTCCATTAACTTTCACTGTTATGCAGATGATACACAGTTATATCTATCAATCAAGCCCAATGAAATTAATCAATTATCTAAATTACAAACATGTCTTAATTACATAAAATCCTGGATGACCTGCAATTTTCTGATGTTAAACTCAGAAAAAAATGAAATTCTTGTTCTTGGCCCCAAAAACCTTAGAGACTCACTGTCTAAAGATATAGTTACTCTAGATGGCATTACCTTGGCCTCTAGCACCACTGTCAGGAATCTTGGAGTTATCTTTGATCAGGATTTGTCATTTAACTCCCACATAAAGCAGACCTCTAGGACTGCCTTCTTTCATTTACGTAATAATAGAAAAATTAGACACATCCTATCACAGACAGATGCAGAAAAACTAATCCATGCATTTGTTACTTCAAGGCTGGATTACTGCAACTCTTTATTATCAGGTTGCCTCAATAAGTCCATTAAAACGCTCCAATTAATTCAGAACGCTGCAGCACGAGTACTGACAGGAACTAGAAAAAGAGATCACATATCTCCTGTACTAGCTTCTCTGCATTGGCTCCCTGTAAAATGTAGAATAGAATTTAAAATCCTCCTCCTCACCTATAAAGCTCTTCATGGTCAGGCCCCTTCATATCTTAAAGAGCTCATAGTACCCTATTACCCCTCTAGATCACTACGTTCTCTGTAAGCTGGGCTACTTGTGGTTCCTATAGTCTCTAAAAGTAGAACAGGAGCCAGAGCCTTCAGTTACCAAGCTCCTCTCTTGTGGAACCAGCTTCCATTTGTGGTTCGGGAGGCAGACACCCTCACCACATTCAAGAGTAGGCTTAACCCCAACTGGTTGAGACAGACGACCACCCACCTAGAGCCGGAGGATCTGTCCTAGGTTCCTGCCTTTTAACAGGCAGTTTTTCCTTGCCCTTGTCGCCAAGTGCTTGCTCATGGTGGTATGTTGGGTCTCTGTAATTAATGTTTTAAAGAGTTCGGTCTAGACCTGCTCTATTTGAAAAGTGTCCTGAGATAACTTCTGTTATGAATTGGCGCTATACAAATAAATTGAATTGAATTGAATTGAATTGAATTGAATACTGATCTGATATATTGATTGGCATTGATCCTCACCTTCCACCTGCGGCCCCTGCAGGTGTTGGAAGAACACAGACTCTCTGATGTAGCTCTGGTATCACCTGGTTCACGAACCTGTACACAAAGCGGTTTCTGTGGACGCAGTCGAACAGGTCGCAGGTGCGGTTCTCCGCCACTGCTGCTCCAGTGCCCCGCGGCACCAGCAGTGCCAGGTTGCAGCGCGGGTCCTCACAGCACGCACGCTCACAGAGAAGTACTGAAGACACGCCTCTCGGCGGCATGATGTCACTCAGGTGTGGCGACACCAGGACGGAAATACTGTCAATAATCAATCAGTAATAATAATAATAATATATAATAAAGGTTGAATTGATCTGTGATTGATAAAGAAATTTGAATTGATATTATTATTAGTGTTGATGAGATCTGAATATTATTTATTGATGAGTAACAAATAAAAACACCTTTACTGTCGTCATTGATTGATTCATAGTTCGATCTTCAATTGATTTATTGACTTTATTTCATTTGATCAGTCTTTGTTCACAGGACCTGATCAGATAGTAAAACGTGATTGAATCAACATTGACATATTGTCAGGCTGAAGATTGTAATCAACATTGATGTCAGATATTGAAATATACATTGAAAGTGCTCACTATGATCAACATTTAAAGGAGACATATTATGCCCCTTTTCAGGTTCATAATTGTATTTTGTGGCTCTACTAATAGGTTTAGATGTTTTAATGTTCAAAAAACACATTTTTCTCATAGTGCCTATAGCTGAGCACCTCTTTTCAGCCTCTGTCTGAACGATTGGTTTTAGCTCCTGTCTCTTTAAGGCCCTCCTCCCGAAAAGCCCAGTCTGCTCTGATTGGTCGGCATTATGACGCGGATGATGCTCTGGTCCCTCCCACTTTCGCCTCAGCGTTGCCGGCAGTTAGCTCCTCACTGCTACTGAGTTTAGCTGCATTTCAACCGTCAATAGTAATTCAATAACTGCTTCTAAACCAAAAACTTCACCAGTGGACATGTTAGAGGGGGAGTCTGACCTGAAATCACGGAGAAATGAACAACATCAACAATCAGGATTACAACTTTCTGTGACGTTTTCCTCAGGTAAATACTGCTATAAAAACCTCTATCTATCACATAATGTTAGTGTTTATACCTTAACTATGAAAACCAACACTGTGTTTTATGTTTGTCTTTACAGGTACAGCAGTGAGCAGTGACCTACAGTCTACACAGCCCAGTGAAGTTAAACATATTATATACCTGCAATACTTGATCCTGTACAACATGTCAACATAACTGAAGGAATTACTCATCTAATAAAGTAACTTGTTTATGTGCTTTAAAAACTGCTAAGTAACCAACTGTAAGTAACCAACTGTAATGTACTGTATCCATATTTCATAGTCTGATATTTTAACTTGAAAGTATTATTACCAACGTTAACCTTCAGATATTTGTAAAAGCTGCAATTATGTTTGAACCCCATTAAAAATACTGAATATTCTATCATTTATATTATATATTATGATGTCATTTATCTTCCAATATAAGGTTTAAATTTAAAGGCCAGGTTTAAATTTAACATTTTCATATTGATAGATGTTACACGAACCAGGTTTTCAACTCTTGTAGAACTAAAACACTTTATGTTTCATTCAAATTCCAGTTACACATGTTGCAAGTAACAAAGCTAGAACTTTTATGTAAACTGTGCAGATCATGTTCTCCATCAAGGTGGTTTCTAGTATACTGAAGTGTGAGCTGGTAATGGAGCTCTGCAGTCAGTGTTCATCTTGATGAGTCTTCCTTTGGATACCCAGAGTGTCCTGATGCTGCAGCTGTCTCTGTCCTCTGATGGGTCCAGGAACTCCTGAGCTTCATCAGGTCACCTGTAAAACAAGGCAGATTCAGTGTTACCTGTAAGGCAGCATATCATAAACAGTATAATATAATACAATACAGTATAATATAATACAAGTACAACAGCTCATTGTGGCTCAAAGTAGTCCTAAGTTATAAAATAAAATAATAAAGCAGTGTCTCTGGTGGTTCCTTGTTGCAGCTAACTGTAGTGATGTGGTGTTGAAACAGTCTGAGGTTACCAACACAATGTCTATCTAATGGCAGCAGATACACACACAGGACATTTACTGACTGTAACTGATGTTGTAACAAGTTCCTGGTGCAATAACAGACATTTAGCAGTGAGCCTCAGTGTTTATAATACAATAGGAGATTATATGAGTATGAGATGTTACACTGGACCTACACTTATATCGTCAGTCATAGCAGTACTTCAGTAATGCTAAATATATGGATCAGAAAACCTTTATTTTGACTCCACAAAATGCCTAGCGAAAACCCTAACCAGCTGCTCGGTGCTAATCAAAGTTACAGAATAATACTAAACTAATTAATCCCTGCAGTTTGACTATTTCTCTCTCACAGTAGTTCTATTGTTAACTCTGGTGCACATTGATCAAGTTAATTTACATTCAGCAGCACACACACACCTGAACAAAGCAGAAGAACGGCTTCAGAGAACCAACAAAGCTAACGCTAGCTGAGATAGCCTTAGCACGTCAGTAGAAAGTTACACAAGAAGACCAGGACGGAAGCCGCACTGTTCTTCTTCAATCAGAGGTTGTCTGTGTGCTGCTGTATGTAAATTTACCAGAGGTAAAGATAGAGCTACTGTGAGAGAGAAATAGTCAAACTGTGATCAAGCCTCCTTAGAAGTTAACAAAATACGGGGAGAAGGTTATGGTGATTATTTTTCATGATGCTTCTTGTGTAACTTTCTACTGACGTGCTAAGGTCATGAAAAATAATCACCATAACCTTCTCAGGTTGTGTTTGTGTAGGTAACTCTGATGAGTAATTAATCACCGGGACCCTGAGGTCTGCATTTGGGAAGGTCGAGCTGGCCATTCTCAGCATATGTCTCAACTGTTTGAGAGATGTTTTATGTGGCTCTTTGTCCCGGTTATTAATGCCCACCGAGAGGATCACCACCTTTGTCTCCTTGTTGGCTGGTGTTTTTTCTAAAATTCTGCCAAACTGGTACAAAATGGCCCCTGGATAGCTGTCAGCCTGAATGTCCTGATGTGAAAATTTGGGGATTCTATTGATGTTTGAATCACCCAGTATGAGTATTGGTTTGTTACTTTTAAATTCCCAGTCTTTTAGTTTACGGCTACTGCCAGCCCGGTGGCAGGTGGGTTCAAGGGTCAGGCTCGTATCTGCAACTCTGGTGGGAGGAGCGAAGACCTTGGCGCGTGCTCCCAGCTGGTGTGAGTTAGGATGTTCTGAGGGGAGGTCAGAGTTGTAATGAGGGTCTGTCATTTGGACTTTGTGACCTTGTTCTCTCATCATTTCTACCCCTGTATTGTTTTCAGTTACCCCGTTAAGCTGAGGAGCCGCCACCGTGGCTGGGGACGCAGCCTCCCGGTCAGTGCGGACCGAGTTGAGGGGCACCAAGGTGTCTACGGTGCCCTCTGCCACTGCCACCAGGCCGAGTTCACCAGCAGTGCAGGTAGGTGTGCTACTGCGAGGATGGGTGTCCTGATTAATGTTTGTTTTATGGAAGAGGGTGTTTTTGTTCTTTTCAGGCTGACAGCAAATCCAGGGGGCCGTGGCGTCTTGTGTCCTCCGGGGGCCTTGCCTGTTAGGGGAAGTGGGTAGTGAGTTAGTCTGTTTGTGTTTTTGTATGTTGACCCTGAGGAGAAGGGGAGGAGGAGAGACACGAGTGGCACCGTGCGGGGGGACCGATGATGAAAGTCTCTCCCTTATGGGCTGTTGGGTCCCCCCTCTGCCAGGGAGGGGCCCCGGTGCCCGACCTCGAGACTGAGGTACCCCATTCAGCACAACACTACTGTAGGTTGGTGTTTTGTTTGTGTTGTGTGTGCCCTGTACTGGGCTCAACCTGTAGTCCCGTGTGGGTGTGTGTGGTTGATTGATGTTTAGGCTGTGTGTGGTGTTTTCAACTTGTGTGTGTGTTTCTGTCTTTTTTAATCTGTTTTTTCTGTTAGTAGGCTGGGGGCGCCCACCAGTGGAGAGTTCAGGGAAGTCCAGGGCTCCTGCTGCGGCAGTGTGTCTCTCCTCCCTGTGCTGTATTAAGTTCTCTGTAACACATTAAATCCACAGGCTGTGAAAGAGAATGGTTAGTTCGGGGAAAGCAAGGATGAGAAGGGTTAGAGTCAGTGAAATGAAGGGAGAAATTGCCAATATCTGATTGACAAGGGCATGAAGAGGGAGAGGGGGTGCCTGGAACAGAACCTGTATCCAAAAGGTAACCTTCAGCTTGTTTGATTGTGTCTGGGTCTAGCCTATCCCCATAGCGTCTGTGGGCCCAGTTAGCAGCTACTTTTAGTGCTAATTGGTCGCCTGGTGTAGTTAGCAGTGTGGCTAGTGTGTCTGTGTAGTGTTTATGTAGGATATGCATGTTCTCCTTCATCCAATTGTTTGTGTTTTGTTTTACTGACTGTGTTGTTTCTATAGATGGTGAGGCTGGTTTTATAAAAAGAGCCAGTTTGGTCACCTGCCTCATCGTTCCCTGGGGGAAGTTTCCAGTTTGGATTGCTTCCCTAACAATATTCAGGTGATGTATGATTTGTAATAATTTGAAATGATGTTTGGCTAGTGCTCTGGTGTTAATATCCAGCGCCTGTCTGGTGGGTGAACTGGTTGTGATGTGTGTTCTGTGTGTGACTTTTTCCCTAATTGTGGCTCTGTGTTGTATGTGGTGTGTGTGGTTGTGTGGGGTCCTAAGATGAGTAGCTGTGGGCCTGTCTGTTCTCCCCCGGCCTCGTTCAAGCCGGGGCCCACCACCTTCACCCCCGTGATAATGACCATATGAGGAAGCGCCTACCTGATTCCATCTGCCTCCGGGCCGCTGCTGGTGGTATTGTTGTGGCGGCCTCCATCCCGTCCCTTGTCGTCCCCTGTCTGGGTTATGCCTGAAACCAACGAGGGTAAATACAGCCAATTTGAAAAACCTAATTCAAAGGGTTTAAAAGGCAATAGGCTACCAGCAGAAACGAGATGCTCCGACGTTTCGCAGTGCTCTACTGCTTCCTCAGGGAGCCGAATGAGGGAATAGAGGTAAGTGCAACATTAGACATTGGTCTAATGAGCATGTTTCTCCTCACAGGAACATTGCAGAGACTTCAAACCAGGTTCAATCTGTTCATTTTTTCCTTCTGCTTCTTTGGGTGCCACTGTCGACTTCCTGTGATAACCGGAAGTGGGCGTAATTCCGGAAATAGACATGAAAATCCTTGTATGTGTGTCAGCTCTAGTATGGGATTTTTCAGAAAGTGTGTAGGAGCACGTTTCAGGCCATTTTGAGTGGATTGGGACAGGTTTGTATGTTGACTTTTTTGGAGTGTCTGAGGTTGTTGGTTGTGTTTAGGCAAGTGTGGGAGTGGCTAGGTTCAGGGTAAGGCGAACTGGGAAAGGTGTTAGTTGGAGTGATATGTCAACACCGTGCCATTTGGAAGCTAGGGTTAGGGTTTGGAATGGAGAGCCATCGGAAAGCACTGGCCGGCGCATGTCGCAGAAGTCCTCCCCCACTATGCCCCCCCATACATCCAAATTGTACCTGCCGCTGTCTGGGTGAGACCATCCCAGGTGGCCAATAGCATTACCATTCTAAATCCAAACTCAACTGGAAATGACTGGGAGCAGATAGTCCTATTTGTAAATGCCTATACCCATTCGGAATGCCAGACTAAACGAGAATACGTTTTACCATGTATCCAAATACTAAGTGCAGGCTAAGGCCCCTTGTAAAAAGAGAGACACAGAGAGAGATATATAAACCACAGGCTAAGCTACCCATTAGCCTTCAATTTGTTATTCTACTTACGATCACTCAACGTCCTATTTGTGGAACACATCGTCAGTAGTGGACCTTGGGATCCTCGGGTGTTTCGGCCATTATCACTAGACACCCTCACCCAAGGAAGGCCCCGCCGGGGTTGATCAGTCCCCAGGGTGTGTCCTGATAAGTATTAGATATATCGCAAGTAGGACTTCAATAAGTCTGGATATACGTATTAGATATACGCAAGTGCAACTTCAATAAGTATGGATATACGTATTAGATATACGCAAGTACATATACGTATTAGATTTACGCAAGTACAACTCAATAAGTATGGATATACGTATTAGATATACGCAAGTACAACTTCAATAAGTCTGGATATACGTATTAGATATACGCAAGTACATCTACGTATTAGATTTACGCAAGTACACTTCAAGAAGCCTGGATACACATTAGATATTGGATACACGCAAGTCCAACTACAATCAGCCTGGATACACATTAGATATTAGATACACGCAAGTCCGACTACAATCAGCCTGGATACACATTAGATATTAGATACACGCAAGTCCAACTACAATCAGCCTGGATACCCATTAGATATTAGATACACGCAAGCCCGACTACACAAAGCCTGGATATACATATTGGGTAAAAAACAGGCCCAGAAAAACTAAATCCTACCCACACATGGTCCTATCCCCCCATACTACAACGCTAATCGCCCATGTGAAAAAGAAAACTACAACCGATACTAAAAATAACAGAAACTAAAATTAAAATACTGCCCGGAGCTGTAAACGTACTGCCAGAAAGACACATACTTACCCCCTGCGCACCACAGACCAGTTGTTAACACCGCAAGGTAGTTCCGGTCTGAGCATTCAGGGTTGAGAACTAGGTCTCCCAAAACTATCCCTGAAAAAAAAAAACCCTGGCTACTCCTGTGCCACCATACACCGCACGACCCCAGAAGCCAATACCCTCCCCGCGACCCTGATACTCACCAAAAATTTGATTCCAACTTGCAAGATCTTTCCCCTCACCCCACCTCCAATACTTAAGCCTAGAACCCAGCCTCCCTGGCCACGGTGCTCCCTTCCTATCCAATCTGCTCCGCCCACTAACCCCGCCCCCTGCACCCTGACTAAAGTACCTGTGCTGACAGCCTATCTCCCATTGCCCAGGACCTGTCCTGTCTGTAAAAAGCCAACGTCTTCTCCTCCACAAATTCCCCCTCAACTTTTCCTAAATCACCCCTCTAGCCCTTTTGCTATGGTAACACAATTAAAATGGTTAGAGCCATCCACCAATGTTAGGGTAAGGCAACTGTAAGGCTAGGGGTCGATGCAGGGCCCCAAATAAAAAAAAAATGTCCAATAAGGACTGGAGTCCTTGTAATAAACTAGATGCCCCACTACTCCCTAATCTACCATGAGTGAGACTTGAACCCCGGACTCCCACACTCGGGTCCACCCTCTGTACCCTTTACTCTACCAAACACCTAATCAACTGTCCCCAGAACCCCATTCTATATCCAGCAAGCATGCTTATGGATAGCTAATACAATGCTGAACCCTGATAATGAATAGTCATTAATAATCATAAACCCACCCGGACTAGCTAGATAAATTACAAAATAAATTACAAAATTAGGGTCTTATTAGTGTCACCCCAGATTCAAATTAGAATAGCCCTAACAAAATTATACCTCCCATAGGACTCTTACTAGGGTGCCAACAATGTTAGGGTTAGGGCAACTATAAGGCTAGGGGTCGACGCAGGGCCCTAAACAAACCCCTCCCCTGCCATCGTCCCATTAGGACTCTGGCCGTCGTAAGAAACTAAATCCCCCACTACTCCCTAATCTACCAAGAGTGAGACTTGAACCCTGGACTCCCACACTCGGGTACACCCTCTGTACCCCTTACTCTACCAAACACCTAATCAATTGTCCCCAGAACCCCGTTCTATATCCAGCGAGTATGCTTATGGATAGCTAATACAATGCTGAACCCTGATGATGAATAATCATAAACCCACCCGGACTAGCGCTGTCCTAAGGTAAATAAATACAAGATAAATTACAAAATAAATTACAAAATTAGGGTCTTATTAGTGTCATCCCAGATTCAAATTAGAATAGCCCTAACAAAATTATACCTCCCATAGGACTCTTACTAGGGTTAGGGTTGGGGTGGGGTTGGGGATTCCACCAAGGTGGAGGCCCCCAAAAATGCACTCGCCACCCTGCGGATGGCCTGCACTCCGTCTCCATCTTCTCTAATGAGGTTATGTGTACTCGTTCTATGAGTTACATTTAGACCGGTTCGCCTTTGTTATATGAAGTATAATAATAGTGTTTCTGGGTTTTCAGTTTTGGCTCCTTTAAGTTCCCTCCCTGGTTTTTTATATGTGTCACATGTGTTCTCTTTCTTGTATGTCAGATGGCGGTCGCGACGTTTAGGGTTAGGGTTAGGGGTTAGGGTTAGGGTACGATGCTTCCCAATAGCTCCTTGAGGCTTGCTAAAAAATGTGTCAACAATCTGCTACTAGGTGGCGCTCTGGTGGCAGTGTAAATCACTCTGCGGAGAATGTAATAGTTATGAATATGAAATTCACGTGGCACCTGTAGACTGGTGCCTGTTGCTCACATACCAAAAACCATGTTCATTGTGTTTGTAGCACCCCCTACAGTATTTCGACATAGCGGCCCCGGCGCCACGTTTCACCAATATGTATGAAACTCGGTAGGTACGTGTAACATGGTGAGACATACAGAAAAGCCTCTTGGACCCATGTCCCAAAACCCACAGGAAGTCGGGTATTTTGATTTTCATTTTTAGTCTTGGCGGCCATTTTGTTTGTCATTTTCACTTTTTCGCCTTGTATTTGAACAAACTCCTCTTAGGGAATTTATAGGATCTGCTTCAAAATTGGTCAGTACAGTCAAAAAATGTAGCTTACTGAACACCATGCTATTTGCGACTGCACGTTGAAGGGTGTGTCCGTGGCGTGCCGTCAAAGTTGGCCATTTTGAATTCCGTGGTCTTGTATTTGAACAAACTGCTATGGAATTTATCAGATCTGCTTCAAAACTGGACAGTAGACTTGAAAAATGTTGCTAATTAAAAGTTGTGCGATTTGTGACTGTACGTTGAAGGACGGGTCCATAGCGTGCCATCAAAGTTTGCCATTTGGAATACCGTGGCCATTTTTTGCGTTGTATTTGAACAGAATCCTCATGGGGGACCTAAATCTACTACAAAATTGGACAGTACAATCAAAAGATGTTGCTTATTAAAATTTGTACTATTTGCGACTGTACGTTGAAGGGCGTGTCCGTGGCATGCCGTCAAAGTTGGCCATTTTTAATTCTGTGATCTTTTTTTTTGTTGTATTTGAACAAACTCCTCAGTGGAGTCTGAGTTACTTCAAAATTGGAAAGTACAATCAAAAAATGTTGTAAACTGAACGCCATGCTATTTGCGACTGTATGTTGAAGGGCGTGTCTGTGGCGTGCCGTCAAAGTTGGCCAGCTTGAATCAAATGTCAAGCTGTGATGCCATTTCCGGCATTTCAGGGCTTCAATTTAAACTAACTCCTCCTATAGATTTTATCGGATTGACTTTAAATTGGATCACTACAATCTAGACACATTGGTGATCAAAAGTTAACCAAATATTTACTGTGCGTCAAATGGCGTGTCCGTGGTGTGGCGCTGAATTTCCACGTTTCACAGTGAAGAACCTCGCTATGAAAGCTTAAGTCTTTTTCAATCCACTTATTCATTCATACGGGATGCTTTTAATGAGAAAAATCAGTATGGCTTTAGCATGTGCCCCAGAAGAGCTAACTGAATTGGAAAGCAACAGGGGACAACTCAGTGCACATGTAACGTTAATAGCCACACATTACTTTTCAACATGCTGTAGGTCTTCACAGCTTTACGTTTAATTAACAGTAGGATATAGCTATGGCAATATTTGACTTACCAACTCTTGGTTACAGAGATATGTTTAGGCTGATGTAACCACCTTTGAGTAAAATAAAGCTACTCACTGCCGCAGTAAAGTGAACACACACTGTTGTCATTTCAGGGATACCATCTAGTGGCGTGAACGTTACAACGAAACTTTATGGTTCAATAACATATTCACATATCCAAAGCTAAATTAACAGCAACGACAGACTAAAAGACTTTGACAACCACTTGATAATAATTATGACTTTTTATCTTAGAATTTTGACTTATTATCTCACAATTATAACATTTTTATCTCATAATTATGACTTTATCTCATAATTTCGACTTATTATCTCATAATTATGACTTTTTATCTCATAATTTCGACTTACTTTGAGGATATTTTTATTAGCAAGGCTAAGTTTTATCTGTCTTTTTTTTTATTCTGGCAGAAATGGGCTTCCATAGATAATGGACTGCTGCCGGTTTACAACTGTGTCTCCTCCTCTTTCTTTTTTACACTTTACTTTCACTTTCTATGAAGAAGATTGTTTTCTGCATCTAAACCTCCGGCTGAAGGTAATGAAACAAGTTTGAAATATTATACTCGTTAACACAATCCGTCGTTAACTTACTTCCACTAGAAAGAGCGTCCAAACTCACAACTTGTTGAACTAAAGTTGAACTAAACTCGGGACGAACTGAAACAAGCAACATTAAATATATCCGCCATATTGTGTAGATGCTTGTGAGTGTAAAGGGAGGAATAAGAGTAGTAGAGTTAGTTGATGCTCAGTAGTTGAACACAGTCGTTGTTACTGTATAACAGCACTTACTGATGACTGAAGGCACATTTTCCTGCCTGAATCAGCCTGTGGAGGAGGCGGAGATAAGCCGATGTACTCCTGCTGTCGGAGAACCGCTGTTTGTGTCGGTGAATGCATGCCATAATATTGACACTACAGGACTGATGTGGCTACTGACAAAGACAATGAAGCTGCTGCACTTTTATGTTCATAAAACTATAATTCAGGATTATATTATTCAGCAGAGGTAGAAAGTCAGTACATTTACTCAAGTAATGTACTGTATGTTCAGGGACTATATGGAGGACTAAAAGTGCCACAATTAAATAATTAGATACATCATTAAATAATTACTTAAATGTGTCATTAATTAATTAAAATTGGAATTAAATACATAAATGTGTTATTAAAGGGGACATATCATGCAAAACCAACTTTTTAATCATTTGATTATGTACATTTGGGACTCTGGAGGGCCTATCAGCAGGCAAAGTGTGAAAAAATATGACTCAGTCATGTTTTTGTGGGCTGCCTCAGTCAAAATACAGGAGATAAAGCAGTCTGTTCAGATTTTTCCCCGTTAATGACGTTTTCCCCGTTATTGACATCAGTTATGTTGTCACCCACCACAGTTTACTTCCTTGTTGACTAGCGGAGCTCCGCCATTGTCACTATAAAAGAGCAAGCTAGCGGAGAACAAGCAAGCGAGCCTGCAGCCAGCTGCCTGCAGCCTGCCTATAGCCAGCCCAATGTCTGGGCAAAGGCTTCAGGAGGCAAACTGTTCAGTCATTGGCTGCACAGCCCAGCACAAATCTACATATGTATGAGCACAGTGGATTTATTTTTGTTTTTGACGGCAATGTCCGGCTAGAGTCGGAAAAACCTGAACGTGTGTGAACCACTTCGTGCCGGACTGTTTTCACAACCTCGGTTAGTACAACACTGGACTGGCTAAAAGACTGTTCCTGAAAGAGAGATTGTACCAACTGTCTGTGGAGTGACAGCAGAGGAAGTAACTGTAAGTATTTTTAAGAATTGATGCTTTGTTTTTCATTGTTCGTGTAACGCTAGCACATGCTAACAGTTGTTAGCTGCAGGAGCCTGAATGATGCTAACGTAGTTATTGTTTGTTAAATGTTTGTTAAATGTGTGCAAGATGAACACGGAACTTATAAGGTGAGGTTAATTTATTAAGCCAGCTGGTGCAGATGACTCCATATTCTGCCCTGCTGCTATTTTTTATAGAGATTCAAATAACGTTTATGCCGTGAATTACCAAGCTTCGTGCCGGGAGGGGTGGCCTTATGTTCGTCTGTATTTTGTAGAACAGGGTAGATAACGTCAGTTAGGTTTAATTGTCTTTAACCAGGTAACTTACATATCTGCTGGGTAGCTAAGTATCTGTTCACCGTGTGGATCAATACAGCTGTGATCAGAAGAAGACGCCGTACGTGCGTGTAATTCAGCAGCGGAGGTAATTTGATTGGTAAGATTGTAGCTTTGATTTGCACACAGCAGCTCTGTGATTTCACTGTGTTACTATAGTTACTGAGTCTGTCTGACTTTATGCTGTAATATGAGGGGCAGTGTGATCGTTAACCCTCGTTAGAAGCTACCAAAATACCGGGAGTGAGTTATGGTGATTCTTTTCTTTTTGTGTAACTTGCTAACGTGCTAACCAGCTGGAGCTCGCTTCGTTGTTTTCCGTGTGTGTGTGTGTTACGTTGTGTGTGTGTGTGTGTGTGTGTGTGTGTGTGTGTTACGGTGTGTAAATTAACTTGATCTACATGCACCGGAGTTAGCGATAGAGCTACTGTGAAAAAGAAAAAGTCAAAACTAGCAGGGATTCATTAGTTTAGTAATATTGTGTAACTACGACGCTCACTAGGCTGTTTTGTGGAGTCAAACACTGCTTTATTATTCTATTTTATAACTTAGGACTACTTTGAGCCACAATGAGCTGTTGTACTTGTACTGTATATATATATATATATATATATATATATATATATATATATATAGATAGATGTGGCCATACCAGCAGATGCCAACATCAGAAAGAAGGAACACGAAAAGGTTGAAAAGTACCAAGGGTTGAAAGAACAGCTGGAGCAGATGTGGAAGGTAAAAGCAAGCGTGATCCCAGTGGTAGTAGGAGCACTCGGGGCAGTGACCCCCAAACTGGGGGAGTGGCTCCAACAGATCCCAGGAACAACATCAGAAGCGTCAGTCCAGAAGAGCGCAGTCCTAGGAACAGCTAAGATACTGCGCAGAACCCTCAAACTCCCAGGCCTCTGGTAGAGGACCCGAGCTTGAGGATGACACAGATACCACCCCAAGAGGGTGAGAGGGAAGTTGTTTTTATGCTGCCTTACAAGTAACACTGAATCTGCCTTGTTTTACAGGTGACCTGATGAAGCTCAGGTGTTCCTGGACCCATCAGAGGAGAGAGACAGCTGCAGCATCAGGACAGTCTGAAGGACACGATCACATAAAACTTATAGCTTTTAAAAGTTATAGGTTACACAACATGTGTAACCTGGAATAATGAATGAAACAAAAATAAAATGTTTTACTTTTAAGAAGAGTTTTGGTGATTTTTAAATTCAGTAATAAGTGTGGTTTTATATAAATAACATGTTATTTCACAAAGGTTTTTATGAAAAAGAGTTGAAAACCTTCAAACTTTATTATGTTGGAAGAGAAATTACATCACAATATATAATATAAATGATAGAATATTCAGCATATATACAGCATTTTTAATGGGGTTCAAACATAATTGTAGCTTTTACACATATCTGAAGGTTAACTTTGGTAATAATACTTTCAAGTCAAAATATCAGACTATGAAATATGGATAGAGTACAGTACAGTTGGTTACTTAGCAGTTTTTAAACCACATAAACATTACTTTACTTTACGTTACTTTATTAGATGACTAATTCCTTCAGATATGTTGACATGTTGTACAGGATAAAGTATTCCAGGCATATAATATGTTTAACTTCACTGGGCTGTGTGGACTGTAGGGTCAACCCTGTAGGCTGTACCTGTAAAGACAAGCATTTATTTAGATCAGGAAGCTTACAGACCAATTGCATGCGAGTTAAGCCATCCCACGTGATGCTGCTCCGCCAATCAAATCTGTTTAAACAACAGTGCGACTCTGAATACAGAGATGAGAGCGATGAGAGGCAAGTGACAGACGGAAAGATAAGTTAGTGATACATGGAGAGGAAACGGAGAAATGAGTGAGCACGAGACGACAGAAAAATAATGAAGCACTGCAACACAGGACCATGAAATAATTAATTAAATAATCCAATTCAATTCAATTTTATTTGTATAGCGCCAATTCATAACAGAAGTTATCTCAGGACACTTTTCAAATGGAGCAGGTCTAGACCGAACTCCTTATAACATTTACAGAGAGCCAACAGTACCACCACGAGCAAGCACTTGGCGACGGGTGCAAGGAAAAACTGCCTGTTAAGAGGCAGAAACCTAGGACAGACCCTTCGGCTCTAGGTGGGTGGTCGTCTGCTTCGACCAGTTGGGGTGAGAGAGAGAGAGAGAGAGAGACACACACACACACACACAGGCAGAGACAGAGACAAGAGAAAATAGTGAAATAATTATATATGTTTTTTACATAAAATGAATCAGTATTTTAATGAATTAATGACACATTCAAGTAATTATTTAATGGTGTATTTATTTATTTATTTATTTATTTAATGTTGGCACTTTTAGTCCTCCATAATGGGACACTGTAGATAATGACATCAGTCCATTTCAGTTCATTTCTATCATTGTCAGTGAATGAAAATGCTACATGCATGTGTGTGCTGGGTTGCAGATTCATGACACCATCTAGTGGACCAATAGTAGAAGTACAGCTGCTGATGCAAGCTTCCTCTGCCCTAACGCTGGTTTTCTGACAGCATTCAACTGACACTGATATGAAAGAGAAAATAACAGCTGATCTTTTTACAGGAGAAATTATGTAAAGGATTATTTCAGTTGATGTGCACATGAATGATTTGTGTTTCCTCTCCAGATCAAAGTGTTTGTGAGCTGATGTGGATGTGAGTTCAGCAGCATGAGTCAGTGTGAGGACAGAGAGGAGGGAGTCCCTCCCTCTAAAAACTCTCTGTGTGGGGAACATGACAGCCAGACCAAAGCTCAGAGGTGAGATGAGGATTTCCAACTTCTCCATGTCACAGCTCACCACTCAGGTCACTGCACCACCATTATTCACACTCAAAGCTCCGTGTGTGTTGTGTTAAAGCCCAGAGCAGCACTGCTGCTGTGTACTCTGGCCCTGAAGAGAACTTTTCCTAATGTAAGTTCAATGGAAGTGATGGAGGACAAAAACCACAGTCCTTGTTATGTGTAAAATTGCATTGTGAAGTTCAGCTGAGGATAATATGAGGCTTCAGCAGTCTGACTGACACAAATCAAGGCTTTATATTCTAAAAGTTCCTTCTTGAATTCTATAGTAAAAATACTTTACCTGCCATGGTTTATAAACAACAATCAGGATACATATTCTCTGGTGTCTTAGACTTGGACCTGGACCTGAATCCAGCTGTTTGTCCTTCAAGAGTGACTGGTCCAATGAACGCTTCATTGATTTTAAAGGACGACAACCCTCTGCTGCAAAGAGGTAAACTGTTAATATGTAAATGGTAAATGCACTGTACTTACATAGTCTTTCCAACCACTCAAAGCGCTTCACTACATGCCACATTCACCCATTCACACACATTCACACGTCAGTGATACAACGAACACAGTCGCCCTTTATGTTTCTTACATACATTTATAGTCTCACATCTCAAAGTTCAATGGAAGTGACGGTGGACAAAATCCACAGTCCTCGTTCTGTGTAAAAATACATTGAGTGGCACAGAGAAGTCTTAGTCTGAACTTAGCTTGCTGCTGATGTACATGAGAGTTCAGTTTATTATTTGTCACTAACTGTAAAATCTGATCAGAAATCAGTAAATTTAGTCCGGGTTTGGTCCAATATTTTATGAAAAAATAACTCATACACAGACTTCATATTTTATTGGACTTTGCTTTGTTGATCATTTCTGATATTTTATTTTCTCAATAATTTTAAAGGACAGCCTGCATCTGCTGCACTGGACAGGTAAAAAACAGGCAACAACAGCAAAAATAGAATAATGTTATTTATTCTATTATACGAATTTCAGATATATTTACACGATTTAACACACTGAAAAAAATTTGTAGTGATATTTACTTGGAAAAATCTAGGAAAGTTTTTGCACTTAGAAATTGAAAGTAAATTCTACAAGGGCGATCATCAAGCAAACTTTACTTGCAGATATAAGTTTCTTTTACTAGCAAACCTCAGGTAATTTGCTGATGTTTATTAATATGGTTATTGAATTTTACTCTCTCATTCTTTGTAAGTTTTACTTAAACTCTGACTGCTTCAAACTGAAAAATCTCACCTAAAACCAATGGCTTTTCAAGGTAATTTTTAAATACGTTTTCTAACTTTTATTTATGGACTATATTTAAGTAACATTTACACAACATTTTACATAATTTTTCTGCAGTTTAAATTGCCTAAATTTGTTCTTGTTTTTGTTTATTGAAAAAATGACTTTAAAAAAAATGAGGCAACTGTTTAATTTAACAACCCATTTATTTAGTGAAAAAATATTTTTTCAATAAAACATTTTCCAGAAAGTTTGCATGGCAAAACAACAACAAGGTATAGTTCAAGGCAGAAAACCTAGGAGAGATCCTTCGGCTCTTGGTGGGTGGTCGTCTGTCTCGATCAGTTGGGGTGAGAAAGAGAGCGAGACAGACAGACAGACAGACAGACAGGTGCACAGCAACAACAGTAATGGCAATCTAGCAGGACCATGGCAGGAGGCTCCACCAGGATCGATAAGAACCTGCGAGACGAGAAAGCACAAGAACTCCGGGGGAAGAAGTGAAGTTAGTAACATGCATTAATGGAACATGAATGAGTGCAGAAAGAGAGAGGAAGAGAGGAGCTCAGTGCATCATGGGAAATCCCCTGATAGTCTAGGCCTATAGCAGCATAACTAAGGGATGGTTCAGGACTCACCTGATCCAGCCCTAACTATAAGCTTTATCAAAGAGGAACGTCTTAAGCCTACTCTTGAATGTGGAGAGGCTGTCTGCCTCCCGAACCACAACTGGAAGCTGGTTCCACAGGAGAGGAGCTATGTAACTGAAGGCTCTGGCTCCTGTTCTACTTTTAGAGACTATGGGAACCACAAGTAGCCCAGCATTCAGAGAACGTAGTGTTCTATATAGGATATATGATAGGGTAGTATGAGCTCTTTAAGATATGAAGGGGCCTGACCATGAAGAGCTTTATAGGTGAGGAGGAGGATTTTAAATTCTATTCTACATTTTACAGGGAGCCAGTGCAGAGAAGCTAGTACAGGAGAGATGTGATCTCTTTTTCTAGTTCCTGTCAGTACTCGTGCCGCAGCGTTCTGAATTAATTGGAGCATTTTAATGGACTTATTGGGGCAACCTGATAATAAAGAGTTGCAGTAATCCAGCCTTGAAGTAACAAATGCATGGATTAGTTTTTCTGCATCTGTCTGTGATAGGATGTGTCTAATTTTTGTAATATTACGTAAATGAAAGAAGCAGTTCTGGAGGTTTGCTTTATGTGGGAGTTAAATGACAAATCCTGATCAAAGATAACTCCAAGATTCCTGACAGTGGTGGTAATGGCATTACCTTGGCCTGTCTTTAGACAGTGAGTCTAAAAAATTGTGTTACTTTCTACATAACAATAGTTTATTTGAGGATTAGCACAGAGACAGCTCTGGTTAAAGTTAATAATGACCTTCTGATTGCTTCTGACAATGGACTTGTCTCTGTACTTGTATTATTAGATCTTAATGCTGCATTTGACCATTGACCATGATATTCTTTTACAGAGACTTGAGCATCAAATTGGCATTAAAGGAACCGCACTAAGCTGGTTTAAGTCATATTTATCAGATCGGTCGCAGTTTGTACATGTTAACGATGAATCTTCAATAAATACTACAGTTAGTCATGGAGTTCCACAAGGTTCTGTACTTGGACCAATTATTTACTTTATATATGCTCCTTTTAGGCAACATTATTAGGAATCACTCCATTAACTTTCACTGTTATGCAGATGATACGCAGTTATATCTATCGATTAAGCCCGATGAAATTAATGAATTATCTAAATTACAAACATGTCTTAAGGACATAAAATCCTGGATGAGCAGCAATTTTCTGATGTTAAACTCAGAAAAAAACAAAATTCTTGTTCTTGGTCCCAAAAACCTTAGAGACTCACTGTCTAAAGATATAGTTACTCTAGATGGCATTACCTTGGCCTCTAGCACCACTGTCAGGAATCTTGGAGTTATCTTTGATCAGGATTTGTCATAACTCCCACATAAAGCAGACCTCCAGGGCTGCCTTCTTTCATTTACGTAATATTACATAGATTAGACATCTCATCACAGACAGATGCAGAAAAACTAATCAATGCATTTGTTACTTCAAGGCTGGATTACTGCAACTCTGTTATCAGGTTGCCTCAATAAGTCCATTAAAACGCTCCAATTAATTCAGAACGCTGCAGCACGAGTACTGACAGGAACTAGAAAAAGAGATCACATCTCTCCTGTACTAGCTTCTCTGCATTGGCTCCCTATAAAATGTAGAATTGAATTTAAAATCCTCCTCCTCACCTATAAAGCTCTTCATGGTCAGGCCCCTTCATATCTTAAAGAGCTCATAGTACCCTATTACCCCTCTAGAACACTACGTTCTCTGAATGCTGGGCTACTTGTGGTTCCTATAGTCTCTAAAAGTAGAACAGGAGCCAGAGCCTTCAGTTACCAAGCTCCTCTCCTATGGAATCAGCTTCAAGTTGTGGTTTCAGGAGGCAGACACCCTCACCACATTCAAGAGTAGGCTTAAGACATTCCTCTTTGATAAAGCTTATAGTTAGGGCTGGATCAGGTGAGTCCTGAACCATCCCTTAGTTATGCTGCTATAGGCCTAGACTATCAGGGGATTTCCCATGGTGCACTGAGCTCCTCTCTCTTTCTGCACTCATTCATGTCCCATTAATGCATGTTACTAACTTCACTTCTTCCCCGGAGTTCTTGTGCTTTCTCGTCTCACAGGTTCTTATCGATCCTGGTGGAGCCTCCTGCAATGGTTCTGCTAGATTGCCATTGCCAATACTGTTGTTGCTGTGCACCTGTCTGTCTGTCTGTCTGTCTGTCTCTCTCTCTCTCTCACCCCAACTGGTCAAGACAGACGACCACCCACCTAGAGCCAAAGGATCTGTCCTAGGTTTCTGCCTTTTAACAGGCAGTTTTTCCTTGCCCTTGTCGCCAAGTGCTTGCTCATGGTGGTACTGTTGGGTCTCTGTAAATAATGTTATAAAGAGTTCGGTCTAGACCTGCTCTATTTGAAAAGTGTCCTGAGATAACTTCTGTTATGAATTGGCGCTATACAAATAAAATTGAATTGAAAATTGAATTGAATAGCTAACTGCTAATGTTAATGAAGCTAGCGTGTATGAAAAACTTTTGAAAGTAACGAAAAGTCGCTAAAAGAAGGAGTAACTCTGAGTGCTTAGGTAGAAATAGTCTACGTTTAAATGTTAAGTGGGAAAATAACTGCTGTAACGAGTAAAACAAATTTAGATTTAGCGTTCACTGACAGAGCTACAGCACCAACCAGTGTACACAGAGCAGGAAGTAAACCGGAAATGAGTCAGTACGCTTACCGTAGCACGTCACACGTCACAGACACTGAAAAAGAAGGGGGGAGGAAAGAGGACAGAGGAGAAGAGAGAAAATGGGAGAGGAGAGTGGAAGAAAGAGGAGAAAGGAGAGAGAAAAGAAAACAGGAAAAGGTAGGAGAGGGGAGAAAAGAGAAGCGAGGAGAGATAATCATTACCCCAAATTTCACTCTATTTTTCAAGTCAGGAATATGATTTAATTCATTGACATTTTAGATTTATTTCTCATGAGATATTGAGTTAATTTAGAGACTTTTAAGAATGCATTCCCACTCATGCACTGTGTAATAGGCCATATAGTTTAATTACATCTATGAAAATATCGTTTTTGTCATCTCCAACTGAAAGAACCACCAGAATACACTTACAATAAAGACTACTTATTGAAAGGATGCATTTTGTTTCTTTTATTGACTTGTTATAAAAGGCAATGATCAGCCTATTTTTTTTCATTGGCGGAAATGGGCTTCAATATGTATTACATTTTTGTTTGTTTAAAAAAAAACTGAAATATGAACCATTTTTGAAAATCAAATTTGGAGAATATTTGAAAAAAAAAATCATTTTTTCAAAGGGACCAATAAAGGCTCCATTTTTAAAAATTAGATTTTTCTGACAATTATTTGATGGTTCAAGCAAGTTGTATTTAAAGGGGAAGTGAATAAGAATTCAATATAATGTACTCAAGTGAACTTTGTGATCTGAAAATGTTTGAATTTACCTTGTAGTCTTTGATGAGTTTCCCTGAAGAATCCCCCAGGAATTCCATCAGGGCACAAATAATGCCCTCCATTTCTCTCCCTGACTCTCACAGATTCACACACAGACTCACACACACA